CTGTAAAACTACAAAGTTCTTTACGTTTACGTCTTCACGTACGAACAGGAATTATGAATTTCCGCTCAAGCATTTATTTCAAGCAAACCCCGCTCCCTGTGGGCGGAATCTGCTNAATGAAACAACCTGAAAAGTCAAAGCTACATCGTTAATACCGAATTGTTTAAACTTTGATCGGTAGGTTGCTCTTGCTCTCTTAGGCCCCTTATCTTCTCTTATCCGTTGTCATCGGTTCCTGTCACTACCTACATCCCGTCATATACTACATCACAGCAAAATGCCGAGGTTCCATTCTCAATACGAAAAGCTGTAATCCTACAAAATTCTTTACGTTTACGTCTTCACGCACGAACAGGAATTATGAATTTCCGCTCAAGCATTTATTTCAAGCAAACCCCGCTCCCTGTGGGCGGAATCTGCTTTTCCTACCTGCTATGAGTGTTCCCGCGAATCATATATAGTACGAGGGGAACAGATGAAGAATAAAGACGATACAAATATTTAGAAGCCGACTGTGGCGATAGAAAATTGGGACGAAAGGCAAAAGCAAAAGGTTCAGGAACTCACATGGGTTGGGCTGTCCAAGGGAGGCTGTTAATGTGAAGGATAGGATGACGGAACAATGTTAACACTCAACTTTTCGTAACACTCAAACGCACATAACTGTGCTAGTATATCAAGGAATCAAAGAATTTACGGAGAAAATTGCATATCTTTGGTATTACACGGAATAACACGGTGTGACGTGGGGGGAGGAGGGTGTGGGGGGAGTATGAGATGGCAAGTTTCCAGCTTTTCGCACTAGGTAATCGTCTCACTCACCACAGGGCGTTCTACCCTCCTATGACTTAGCTGGAGCCCCTGACCAAAACCGCACAACAGCGCCCAAAAGGTATCTATCCTCCTCGTTTCCAATACAGTGCTAGTATAACAAGGATACGTAACAGCGTGATAATTTCTTGTTATACTGATGCTACCGATGCTGCTATGTATTCACTTCTCACCACCTTTCCATCCCCCCTCCCCCTTCGCCCCCGCCCCAACTTCTTCACTTACATTTCATCGAAATTTCATTATTTTCAAAACTTTTTTTTAAAAAATAAGCATCTAGACATCTGTTGTGATGCAAACAGCCAATAAAATCTAACACTGAAAGACACTCTGGAAGTTANCGGAGCATAGTTTAAAAGATCTTGCACTAGTAAACTAGTGCACCAAATTGTCAAATTATTATTATTTAGTGAGCTTCGGAGAGTTGTCCTAGCACCTCTCCTCAGAAATTGTCTTTGATGTCTATGTTGAAAGTCCGGAATACAAGATGAATGTTACTAACCTTGAGCACAACCGTTGCATTGCAAGACTTCGGAATGAATGTGTTCACATGAACCATCTATTCCTTGTTTTAACTTCTCCTATTATCAGAATCTCTACTCAAAACCACCATAATGAATCCTAACGGACTGTTAGATTTTGATAGAGAAAAGTATCCTGCTTATATAATCCGCTAAGTCTGTCTATCGGTGTTTTCGTGTGTGTATATGTGCGTATTTGTCCGACCGGTAATCCATAACTCTTGTCCCACTGGACCAAGAGCATTCAAATTTGGTAGGAATAGGAGTACGGGCGGCAGGATGGAAAAATAGTGAGTGGCAGGATCGGACTCCACACACAGGAGTTTTGCGTGAAATAATGGTCCGGGCGAAAATTCATATCGCCTGTTCTCGTGGACCTGAGCGTTCGAAGTAGCGTTTGCAGGAGTACAGGTGACATTATAGGAGCGCTAATGATGGGTCGCAGGACTAGACTCCGCCCAAAGTGGGCGGGGTATGCGCGAAAACTGGCAAGTGGTCATGGGACATTCAAGTTTGCCAGGTGTACAGGCGGCAGGATTAGAACACTGACAATAGGTGGTAGGACTGGACTCTGTCCAAAGGGGACCGGGCGCGAGCGAAAAGCGTCAATTCCAACCTAGGACGGGAGGCAGGACCATGACACTGATGGCAGATAGTGGGAAGTGAGAGAGCTGGATCCTGCTCGCGGGGTTGGGGTTATCAGGTCAGGAGTGGATCAGGCGTGAAATGAGTGCGACGTGGGTGAAAGCAGGCTGTAAAGTTGATATGTGAAGACAGGTCAATGATCAGCCTAAAACGGTCGCCTCGCCTCGATTACGAGGCCTTCTAGGAATACATTGCTTGGAAATGATTACGCTGCAGAAAAACGAGGAAAACGACCACCGAGTTGAATGTATGTCCTGCCTCGATGAGAATAGTCTTCCACGAGTAAGTACATTGGTACTCAGATGGGTTTCAGAAGTCTTATGAATTCTTTGGCGAGAAAAGTTCGAGAGGAAGCACAATTCTCGTGCCCTACTTGCACGCGGCACGCGCTTCGAACACTCCTTTCTAACACAAAAGCGTTCAACGTGGAAGAGATGTTCAGGTCCTAAATTACACGCATATTTCTCCCTGCAAATGGAGAGGAAGTCGAGAAGAGTCAGATCGTTTTTTGCAGCGATTTTCCTCCTCCATGATGGCGTGGGCTGGGATAGGTGCTATCAATACGATATCGCTTAGTTTTTGTCTAGAAAAGTAAAAGTGGTCAGAACACCTTCATGAGAGACATTTCAGAAAAGGTGGTGACATTTTGGTGATGCGATGATAGTGGAGAGCTCACATAAATTCACCGTGTATCAGTGTGTATTGCGCTTACTGCATAGCAGTTATTTCGTAGCCGTATTTATGTTGCCCTCTGTATTATATAGGTATATATTCATAGGTATTCACACATTCATAGGTATATGTGTTGCCTACACGAAGTCCAAGACCGACTACGTTATAGTGTTAGATTGGAAACGAGTCCTATGCAACAAAACAGGCTAGAAATTAGATCAAAATCCGATTCTCTCTCACGTATTTTGAACGAGAACCATACATAGCAGCTGTTATGAAGACACACCACAGATGGCGTGATTCGTGAACCAGGAAGATGCAATGATCAATTGGCACTCGATGACCACACAGGGCATAAAATGCAAAGCATATGGAGCAGAAGATTTTTTCGCAGTGAATACATTGCATTCGAGCGGTTGGAAAGTATCTGGGAGGCAATTCTACGTCTTCTCAGAGCCCTTTGTTCACTCAAGGATAGCGTGGTTGAGTACCCCGAGTTTACCCAGTTCCCACGTTCAAAATAGCAAGTTACTTTGGGGTACTCACATGCAAAAAACAGTAATGTTAATGGACCTCATAGTATAAATATACGGGTGCCCGAGTGGCGGACTGCAGGAATAGGTGGATGTTATCAATGGAACTCTTTTTCTAAAAATATATCATTAGTGGAGGCTTCTAGATTATTAGCAGTTGCATAAGTTTTGTAGCGAATAATATCAAAGCAAAGAGAAACCGTGATCCTTCATTGTGTCAGAAACCTCGCTGGGTAGCGGTCATTGTATCCTACTATCCCACTATTCATAATTCGCTAAGTATGTCTGTTGGTTTGTCGGTGTGTACATATGTGTCGGTGTGTGTATTTGACCTGAAATTTTTACTCCTGGACCTAGAAAGCTCAAATTTGGTAGGAGTACAGGGGGTAGCATATGAACACTTATGGCAGATAGTAGGACCGGCCCCCGCCCACGGGGGACGGGTCGTGTGCGATAGAAATTTTAGGTCGCAAATTCATAACCCCTGTTCGCGTGGACGTGAATAGTTTAAATTTTGTACGATCACAGCTTTTCGTACTAAGCGTAGAACCATGGCATTTTGTTAAGGGATTTAGGATACGACGGGATCGTAGGTACTCGTTGACAGGAACCCACGACAACTGATAGAAGAAGATAAGGGGCCTAAGAGAGTAAGAACCACCTGCCGATCAAAATTTCACCCTTCGGTATTTAGGTATTTACAATGTAGCTTTGACTGCTCGTATGTTCCACGATAAGATGGAAAGGTAGAGTAGATGACAAAAGTGAGCGATTAGTGCAGTAATAGGGACCCATTAGCGGCACTACGATAAGCAGATGAGAATTTTGTTCATTTCTTGCTATTGGATTACGACCGCTACCTAACAAAGTGTGAGACACAATAAAGGATCCTCTTTGGTCCATATCATTTGCGAGTAAACTTAATCGAAGAAGGAGGGAAGCGCGGCGATTTGACTGGTAAGAGCTGTAAACGTACTGAACTTCCATTTCGTCATAATAAAGAAGCTTCAATCGGACCCTATCACTGCACTTACCACTAACTTTTTGTCACTCTACTTTACCATACCGTCTTATCGAATGAAACACTTTAAGACCGAACTAATTTCTCCGTCGGGGTTCCGTTATATTTCGTATATGGATATTGCTTTTTAGGGCCACTTATCAGCTCTTATCTGTTGTTATCAGTTCGACCCCCTCACATCCCAGATGTCATACAGATGCCTTCCTACCACCTACCAATGGTGTTCCATTCTGCCGGCTGTGCTCCTATCCAATTTGAACGTTCCAGGTTCACAAGTACAGCAGTTATGAATTTCCGTACAAACAGACAGACAGACAGACAGNCAGACGCAAGCGCTTTATTTATAGCAAGGATGTTTACCTTATAAAACGGCATTGCTTTACAGTTTTTTTGAAGGTTTAATCGGCTTTGTAAGCGGAGGCCATTGATGCAGTAGAGGTCTGCTTCACAGAAAAAACGGCACGCATCCAAACACTTCCATGAGCGCCTCAACTGACGTGATATCTCTCCGAATTGCTTCTTGGAGAAAAATGTTGCAAGAAATAAACCGGAATGAACCCTCTTATAGTGCGATTCAATACCACTGAAACCTTGCATTTATTACTTCCGACCTTACATCATTTGTTTGATGTAGTGCATGGAAATCACTGCTCCTGCTCAGCCGCCCAACTTTCACCTTTACAAAGACAGAGGAGAATTAAGATTGAGCTTTATGGGAATGCAGGTTTTCGACAATAACACACGACAAACTCTGACAAAGGGAAAAAATACGGAGTACTATTTCTTCGACAGTATCTCTTTAGGCGGAGCAGAAGGTTGAGCACTGGAAACATTGGCGGATGGAGTAGTACCGGGCTTCAGATTCGATGCCTTTTGTGCCTCCGTCATAGATGGTTCAGAGTTCTTTGATGGCTGAGAGTTCGAAGCTTGTGACGAAATAGTAGCGGGTGGAGTTGTACTGGGCTGCACATTCAACGCCTTCTGCGATTCCGTCGTAGACGATTCAGAGTTCTTCGATGGCTGAGAACTGGGTACTTGTGATAGGAGTGCTGACGCGGCACTGAGGGCAGTTGGCACCTGCTCCTGAAATTCAAAAAGAAGTTGTTGACGAAAATCAATGAATTCGTCATTCTATTAGTAATGATTTAACAAGTGAGGTGCTTTTCTGTTAGGAAATCACAGCACGTTTTCCTTGTGGCCATTTCTTCAGAAATACATGGCTAGAAAAAATGGAAAAACAGATTGAAGATTGTTTTTTTGGAAACTTCCAGACGTACTCTGAGGAGAAACCAAATGAAAATTTTAAAATACTCTTACAGCAATATGCGGCTACGGAAACCCATCTCCCTTCATTCTGAATAAACTACTACAATGCATTCATATTTCAATAACTTTCAGTAACGGTCGTGCGCAGAATCGTGACCGCCTTGCTCGAGTACTGTATTTCGATTACTTGAAAACTATTTCAATTGTTCTGTGGGTTTATGTAGAATCAATAGAAAGCCGAATTGGAGAGCTTTTCATTTCTCAGGAGGTCATTCCTCATAAACCAGATGCAAAAATCATCTAAATAGCAAGTACAATCATTGTATGCCTAGAGACTTATAATTGCGCCTATGACACCACTGCGTCTTCTTTTTGCAAAAGAGAGGAAGGACACAATGTGAATTAAACTAATTTTGAGATGTGTCTGGCATTCTAGTATCGCTCTGCATTGTAGTACTGCTGCAAAACAAATTAATGTATGTATATATTATACAAAATTCGTATTAGGTGAAGTTAAAAATTTGAATCGCAACCTAAAAAATTCGAATCGCAACTGGTGCAAACAAAATTCACCCCAACAAAAATTTGACAGCTCTTCATTCGTATGGTTACAGCAGGAGTTGACTGTTTTCACAAATGGGAAGGTGGTTCACGTCAAACGGCAGCATTCCCCGACAAATACGGTATTCTACCGCTGAAGATTCAAATCTCTTTCACAGCGCGTGATCGGATGCGGCGTGTGCGACAGACCTTTGGGTGAGAGAACCCCAAAGGGGTAGGACGTGGTTTAGCGTTCACAGCGCGTAAAAGCAAGGCAGTTCATAGATGGCCTGAGTTTGAAGACAGCAGTTAATGTGCCGTTGAATCAGGCCGGTTCTCAGGAGTTTAGTGCATACTAATCTTCAGATTGGTTCGCTTAGCATTATATCAAATAAGTCTACACCCGGATTTATGTGGAGTTGAATGCTCAATTTATATACAAATTGTTCATACCGCATCTCCTGCTGGTGGAGTTGTTGATGGCCCAATCTCCAAATCAGCATCCATGGTAATCGGCAATTCAGAGCTGCTTACTACTTTACTGAATGATTGAGCTGTCACCAACTTTGGATCGTCTGAAAACTTGAGTTTAACAACATTACCTTCAAACCTTCGAGTGACGAGTTTCTGAGCTTTTCGTAACTTCATTCATTTCATTTCGTAGTTTTGGTTGTCACTACTGTACTAGCTTCATCAAGCTACTAGAGTTTACATTTTGTGAAACATGTGTGCCTTTAGAAACACCTTCACTAGAAGCGCTCATGTGTCGTTTACAGAAGTAGAGGGCGTAGTTGAAAGCTTTGTACAAGGAGAACAGAAGAGTATCTCAGCTGAACTGTGTGTATGTGATGTCTTCATGCAAAACTCAGGAGGGAGTTCTTTATATAATCGGAGGCAAATACCGATAAGAATCGTCTATGAGATTTTCCCCTATCAGGACATTATCAGGTCGAAAAACGACAGGGTGTCATGAGGAATCCAGGACAGACTTGGCCGACGTACACATCCCGAAAAGGGCCGTGTAATAACGGCCTCGTTGAAGCTGCAACGACCATAATGAAGCGTTCAGACGCCCGAGAATTTTACGCTCTCATGGAAGACAAAATCTGTGCAATCCTCTTCCTCACTACCTCTTTGAAGCCTTATGCTTTTGAAAATCCCTAAATTTCGCGTTTTCCGCCATTTTCGCGTTATTCTGCACCATAATTTTCACTATTCCACTTGAGCTGAACACCTTAAAATTATTGTGAATCGTGCCTTCACCTACTCTACCATGCGTTACAGTGGTGTAGGATGATTTGACATCCTGCATCTATATGTCGTTCAGTGTCTCGAGAGCGCTAAAGCCTAGTGAGTCTCTCGATGAGATTTAAAGAATCCATTTCAAAACTCCAGACTCAGTAGAAGTCTATGGGCTGATATGAGTGTACTGGGAAGTCTTGATCATTACATTCCTCAGCTCTTACATAGAAAACTCTCCAATCTTCACAAAGCTGATTTGAGCGAATTGAAAATTTTGCAAACATTGCGTAGACGGAGACCATATATTCGTACCTTTACGTTTTTTGTACTGTTCAGTCATGTTTTTCAAAAGTTTGAAGGCATTGTCGATTGTTTCTTTGGTAGTTCTTTCGTAGCTCAACGAAACACGAATAACATCATTGTCCGCGACCTTCACAAAAATTAATGATACTTTGCTACATCGTGGAGGTACGTGACACAAAAAAACCAATAGCTATTAGAAATATTAGTTAAGAAAAATATTATCAATGAAAACAGCGAAATTATAGGTACATTGGCCCCAAGAAAAAGGTCATATAGACATGGAAACGCATCAAAACAAAAGCAAAGTCAAAAACTCGGCATCAGAATTCGTTTCCGATTTTGAATCTCTCCGGTTCAGAATCAGTGGATTTGTTGCCTAAATTTCTTTATCTTCCTATTGAGATCCTTCCTCTGATGAATTGATTTGGTTCGTATCTTAGTATCTTAAACTCTCACGAGGTTTTTTGAAGTTTTTATCAAAACCTTACTAGCTGATGTTTTGTCGTTGTCGCTTTCTAAGGGTCTGAAACGGATCAGGAAGAATTTTATTTCTGATACGCGATCAAACGTTTCCCAAACCTACTGATGACCCTCTCCTCCACCGGGGCACGTAAATTGAAGGAGGTTCCCTCATCTTTGTCGATACTCGAAACTACCCAACAAATTACCCAGAAAGGAACCAGTATCAGCTGGGCTTGGTCTTCATCGGATCTACTGAACTACTGTGGAAAGGCCAACCTCATCCTGGGGTAGTCTATAAGATCCCTTGCCGTGATTGTGGAGATGATATCTTGGCGGAACGGCAAAACCACCCCTTGCGAGAGTGAAGAGCACCTAGATGGCATGAATCGATTGAAAGAATCCACCAACTCAAGAGCTTACCGCATTCAAAGCAATAATGAGTGTTTTTGAGGTCAGCGTGGAGGTCGTAGTTTAGGAGTAGTAATTATGCGCGCACAAAACCCTTGAGCTTTTTTGGATATAGGCTACCAATCCAAAAAGGAACCAGAGGGAAGTATGTATACTTCAATTGCGTGGAGGCTGAAGTCTTTCATCAGTGTGGCCGATTTCAATGAAGTCTATGCTCAGCTGACACGGTTCACTACTGGTTGCTACGTAATTTCAAGCATCCGCGGAGTTCCGGTGAATAGTCTTTCTTTAGAATACGTGCGTACCAAGTATCAAACTTCAGTAAGTTCGAGAGACGTTCGATCGGATAACCACAAATTGTTTTTGATCTCATTCTCTTAAAAAGGCGATACTGCAAACGTTGGCTAACAAAGTTCTGATAAAACCTTGTGAGAGTTCAACACACAAATAACACCGAACTACAATCACGCCGAGGTTTACATATGGATGCACGTAAAGTCTTCCCGATCTCTTCGTTCAGAGAGTGTGTCCCGTACAGGATATTCAATAACAGCAAGATCGCCTGACTTTTGCCACTCTCCCGTCCATCCTATGACAAAATTAAATTTTCGGCGATTCATCACTCTTCTGTTCAAAGAGATGATACATCGTGATCACAAAAGTTCTGGAAAGCAATGCCTAGCTTCATACAGTCCCTATAACGGCGTAGAAGGAGGGATGCAACATACGCTTACTATTACGAAACCCGAATCCCTTGCAATTGATTTTTATAAAAATCGCAACTTAAGATTCCCTTTCTTGAGCTATCCGGTACAACGACTTTTCTACAACTGACTGATCAACCGTAGCTTTGAAACTCCATACTGATGTTGCCGGCCGGTAATAACACCACTACAGAAACAATTGGCTCATAACTTTTCTATCTCCATAGGTTTAGGGCTTTCGAGGAATTCACGATGAAACTGTTCCTGGAAACTCTATTAAATATCAATCTGTACCACATTTACCCCTCATTTCAGTCAAACTGAACACGTGAAAATTATCGCGATTCCCAGATTTTCGGCGGTGGTATGAGTTTGAGTGGGATGAAGAGAAAATTCCATATCCTGAGGGGTCGCAAACTTTGATGCGTAACAGTTGTAATCGCAGAAGTAATAAATCACACCTTTTTTCTCACATAGTGCTGACATTTGACAGTCTTCATCCCAGCTATTGTCTCTTTTTGCCAACCTACTATGACATATCGAATTTCTTAGTGTGTTTGTATGGACTGTCCTTTGCCTTCCCCAGTTCATCATAAGCTCCAATCAGATGTTTTCACTTCCTATTGACCATTGATGCGACCCAGTCAGAACATTATCACGCTTTGAAGTAAGGCTTCACTGTTGATTCGAGAAGAAGTGATCAACATCTATTGTATTAGATTGATCAAAAAGTTTTAATAGGGTTTTTGAAAGTTCCTGAACTTCCGATTACTAATCGATACCAATAATGTGTCATAAGGTAGTGGCAGAACATTTTAGAATCTCCTCCGTAATGAGTGTAGATAGCACGCTTCCCTCCCCCCCTCCCCCCACAGGTTGAACCGCCATGTCAATTCTACGATTCATGCTCGATACATCATCTTCTACGAGCGGCGAAGCGTCACCGGAGCGACGATGACCATCTACAACATCAACAACGTTTGAGAGGAGGACACTACTTTCATCACTTCGGTCCATCGCTGGTTCGCTCGCTTCAGGGAAGGAGACATGAGCTTCGAAGAAAAGTCTCTATCGGGACGCCTCCTCGCCCTCGACGACTCCGTCATTCTCATCGACATCGTCAATTAAGATCCGGAACTTAGCACCCGCAGTCTTGCGACGAGACTTGAGTGTGCCCAATCAACAGCCGTCGGTCGCCTTAAGGGCTTCGGTTACAGAAAAGTGCTCTCTCGATAAATACCTCATATCTCGACGATAGCATGCGGTACACCCGGGTATCCATTTGTCAGTCTTTCCTTCTCCGTCCACATTGCAAATAGTTTCTGAAGACCTAGGAATTGGAAATTAATTCTTGATCACCTACGACGCAAACAAGCATTGCGCCATCTGGCTCCCGCGAGAAGAACAGCCATGGACGTAAGTCTCCACCTCATAAAGATTATCCTTTGCTGCTTCTGGAACTTAAAAGGAACGCTGTACCACGAACGGCTCGAGCAAGGTTACAGCGTCAACGCTCCCTATTATGCTGGTCAGCTGCAGTAACCTGCGGAAGCCGTTCAAGAAAAACGGCTGAAACGAACTTCTGTGCAACTCCTACATGACAACGTTAGTAGCTAAAGGGACCCAAGCAAAATTGGAGAAGCTAGGCTCATCCACCCTATTCACGTGATACTGCCACTTCAGATTTCCATTTGTTCCGGCCCGTAAAGGCTTTCATAGCAAAAAAAAAAAGTTCGTCAAATATGACCACCTTGAACAAGTGTTTGGTGACTCCCTTCACTCTCAATCTTCCCAGTTCTGGGAGGAGGAAAGGGGGACCAATACATCTAAGGGGTTGACAAGGCAAAAGGGAACTTTTAGGCAAGATGGACCCCAATAATAATCCTCCTCTTCCCAGTTCCGAAAAGATGGAAATGGCTGAGCTGCCTGTAAGTGGGACAATGTTACAATTAGCGATGGTTATTATATTGTTTATTAGCTTGCATTGTTTGCAGAGGAGTTGTAGGATAAAACAGAAAAAAATTCAACCCTATCAAAACTTTTTAATCAACCTTGTATCTTGAAGGTCATTGTCAACGCTATTCAGCTGTTATAAACATTATCAAGGCTAACCAGTTGTTATAAAATCTTGTCACCAACCAACCACGACCTGGTCCTATTCTATTAGGCTAGTAAGGAAGTCTTGAGCCGTTTGATATTTTTGTTGCTTTATTTTTCAATTAACATACAATAGAATTCATTCAGTTTGAGGAGTTGACAGTCAGAGAAAGCGCTGACCTTCAACAGTTGCGAAATTTTCCTTAGCTAAGAAGGTGTGTGGATGAAGAAATAAGTGACAGTTTAAGATGCAATGGCAATGTATAGATAGAATGAAAACATTAAACCAGCCTAGCTCTTCCAATTTATCAAGGGCCTCTTTGGCTTCAAGGGGCCTAGCATTACCGTGAAGTAGGTGAAGGAAAGCTCGACTCGGCCGTCTTTCGCAGAAGTGTCCGAAAGTTTCTGGAGCTAAGGGTGGAGCTGAGGGGCCTAAAACTTTTCAGTCACCCTGTAGTCTCGCGGAAACAGTCGTGGAATCACCCTCGGTTTCCTTAAACAGCAGAGGAGATACTTCTTATAGTTAAGGTCAGATCTGCCTCGTGTCGATGAGTCCTCTCCTTCGGGGGAACCACAAGACACGACGCGTTTCAGGATCGTGGAGGATCTAGCTTCTCTATCCGGCCCGCAGGTCTTTTAGAAACAATT